AGGCATACACTCTGTGACTCAGCTACACCTTATGTTTTGCCTGTATTTATAAAATATCTATGCTAGAAGCTAAAAAAGTACTCAGTAGATACCCAATGTGATATTTTTGTTGTAATATTTCAGGTTATATCTTCATCTCATTATCTGTACAAGACAGTAGTAATGAGTATTTAAAAATATTGGTGGACATTTCTCTTAAGACTCTGAACTGTATTTTTTTTAAAGCAAGACCTTTACCTTTTGTGGACTTTAGTCTTACTCTATTAAATGTTGGATTTCTGGAATGTTCAGTATTGCTATTTACATTAACTAATTATTTGCTAAATTATGTTTAAAATAGCAGACTCTCCTATAAAAACTAAGCCTAATGCTGCTAATGAAGATAATGCTGATGTGTATGAATTAGGCTGTTTGTATTCATTGGTATGTGCTTCGTTATTGTAGGCATTTTCCTGGGAGCTATTTCCTTTCAGATATATGCAGTTCATTTACTTTATACTTTTCAGTCCTAAATTTTAGTAAATGCAAAACATCTCAGTAGTGTGGGGGTGAAAAAAACCACGCAAATGTATTTTTGAGTATTTCTGTTAGTAATTTTTTGAAGAATCTTGTCTCTCTTCTTATTAAAAAATCCATGATTTGCAATTTAATTTGAAAAATGCATTTAGAACTTGAAAACTAATAGCATTATACTATTAAAGCTTTTTTTAAAAAAAAATTCTAGAACAAGTTATGCTGGGTGAAATAATGAAAGATATTGAATCTGTGAGTAAAAACATGGAAAAAGAAAAGCAACAGCATGCTGAGAAGTCCAGGTAATGTATAGTCAGCTAATCCATTCTGTATATTTATATATTTCTTCCTCTTTGCCTGTATCCCCTGACCAATAGTCAGAGTTCCTCCTCTATCTGTTAACAGTCCATGCATGAGGCTAATTTATCTTTTTGCTTGAATTTCTCAAAGCATATCAATTATTAAATTTTTAGTTTTCAGTTCAATTAACTTTTGAACTGGAGGATGTCTTAGTAGTTAAGGAAACCATCTGGGTTTTACAGTGCATAAGCTCAAATCCAATTTGTGTCTTTCTTGAGAAAAATGCCATATTTTATGATAATATTACATAAGTTTGGAATTTTAATAACTCTTTTGCCGCAATTATGGAGAAGAGTGAGTTATAATTTCCCCTTTTAAATCTAATAATTAAAGGTTAGCCTTCTCCTAACAGAAGGTGAGGCTGATGCGACAGAACGTAGTTTGAACGCAGGAATCTTGAGCATTGCCTCTGCCTTCCAAAAGTGTCTAGAGACGAGTTGGTTACATTTTTCAATTACTCTACAGAACTGCATCGCCCTTTTCAAGATAATTTTAAAACTGTGTATACAACCATTGGCCTTAAGGCTACATATAGACTCTAACAGCCCAGCAGCACATGTTTTGTAAGAACATATTTTGTAAGAACATGTTATATTGTAGAATGTCAGTACTGCTCTGTTAAAATGAATTTTTCAATGCTGTATTTTACACTAATTTATTAATATTACATGGTCAGAAATTTGGGGTAATTAGTACAACTATTAATCATAATTTGAGAAAACACTGCCATGGCTAAAAAATATCCTGTGTCTTCTAACATGTATGCTGTAAATTTGTATAACGCCAAAAAAAGATCCATACTCAATATAACCATTTTCTTGGATTAAGTGTAATGTAGTAATCAAACTTGGAAGAGTGGAATATATGTACATCTTCAATACTGGAGGTTTGGTTTTATCTATGATTAAGTGCAGATACTAATGAAGAGGAAAATAAATTATTGTATTGGGAACTCAGTAGTTTTTAAAAATTTCCTTTCTGTTTTCACCCAACTCCTGGAAAAGGTTGTTCTAGCACAGTGGTAGCAGTGAAGAGTGGTTAATAAAGCAAGTTAATCAAAGAGTTTAGAATTTCACATGTTTAATAACTAGAAAAGTTAACTGAACTCATTGAAAATCATTTTCAATACAGTATATTTACATAAGGCCAATAATCCAAAGAAGAATAATGTCATAAGGATAAGTGGAGCACTCGCTAGTAAAAAGATCTGATCAGGTGTAAGATTTTTTTCCTCCATTTATTTAATGTTCTTTATTGTGTGTGAACAGTGTTTTGTATCTTCCAGTGTATAATACAGTTCTTGCATTTCTTTTTTTTTTATTATAATGTCTTTCTCATGAGGTCTAAATATTTCTCAGAAAATTGTTTCTTTGCAACTAGTGGAAGATATAGGCCTCCTGACACCCTGATTTCCCATTTTTAATGAAAACGTGTCCTGCTTAATGAGGAAGATCACTACCCTTTGAAATTAAGAGCAAATGCCTGTGTTTCAGAGCCAGCCCTGGGCACATAAAGCCTGAACTTCAATCCACCTGGGCCACCTTGTCTTTATTTATGGCCAGTTTATGGCAGTAACTTGTTTTTTACTTTAGCAGTTAGTTTCATTTCAGTAATGTTAGAAGTGTGATGGGAATGCTAAGGAAAAGAGAAGTAAGTGTTTGAGGACGTGGTGATTCAAGTTTTCTTAAAATCTGTGCTTAAATAGATAGAAAAATGGGTCATAAGTCTCAAATTTTTATTGAAATCTAGTTCTCTACATAATGAAGATAAGAAAACTTGGCAATGAGGACATAAGCAAGAAGAAAATTAATCAGTTAGGAAATCAAGGAGGGGATTCTTAAGAATTACGTTCTAGGACTAACTGGCACAAATCACCCAGCTCATTTTGAGACTCTGGAATGGTTTCTATTCAAAACATATAGTCCTCCGTAAACCACTTACATTCTCCTCAAGATGCCTTGGACAGTACTAATGTTAAGGTCACACACAATTTTTTATGTAGACCGTAAAATATTTGCCAAAGCAGAGAAGTTTTCTTGGACAAAATGTGAACAAATGTGACAGAATCTTATAAATGTGTGATTTCTTTTTCCACACTTCTCTTTTGACCTGCAGAGAGAAAACCAAATGGAATATTTCTCCAATTTCATATTGAAGCTTAAGAAAGTTTTAGTTATTAAATGTACCTTTAAATCCTTAATTAGAATATTGTCATACACTAAGCTACTCTTTTAAGGCAATAATTGTAGATGAGGGTATATTCTAAATGCTAATACCTCATTAATAAAATTCACTTAGAATTTCCTTAATGTTAATTTTCCATCAATAAAATTCACTTACTGCTTACTTACTAGTGATAATTTTTTACTTGATAGTATTTGGTGCATTTGAAAGAATAACAACTTGCACTTCTGTTGCTGCAGACTGTATCATTCAAGCAAGTGAGCCTGGAGTTCTTCCCAGTTTCGTGATCAGTGAGAGTTTCTCAGGCACTACCTGATAATCTGTTTAGATTACTCTGGTCAACTTAATAACAAAGGGAGACTATTACAACTAGTGAGAGTAATCCTCATGTCATTCCTAATTATACTGAAACAGCTCTGTCTTTTCACATTAATGTTTTTAAATATCTTGATCAACTGAATGAATTTTCTAGCTCTATTAGAACCTTTCACTATTTGTGAATCTTTGAAAAATGCAATTAATTCTAACTTAGAGATTAAGTAATACTTGGCCATGGACCACATACTATATTAGAAAACAAAACAAATAATGTCTGATTAATGTATCTTTGCCCCATTTGGTAGCATATAAATAAATTCTAGAATTCCAAATGGCAGCTTTGCCAAACTATCTACATAATCAAGCCTTTCATATTTTCCCTTGGCACAATTCAAGGAATACTTAAGTCCTTTGGTCAAATCCATGGAGACGTCCATGAGTGATAGTTAAACTAACAAATAAATTGGTCATTTATTTACTGCTATTGAGTGCCTACTCTGAATCAAGTGTGAAGCTCTGAACAGGGCAGTCACAGTTTCCTCCCTCATATACCCTCATTTTATGGTGAGAAAAATGTTTTAAAATTCTAAAATCTTCTATAACATTATACACAACATTTGAACTAGCAGTTTCGTTGTTGTCTGTATTGAGAAAAAAATAATTGAGCAGGTGCACAAATATTAATGCTAAAAGATTTTCATCCTGGTAAATATATCACCAGTGTATTAAATCAATACAATATAATGCCAGAATAGGATAAGTCAAAATAAAAATGTTCATCTTTGTACATCTAAAAAGATATCCATAGCATAATACTAAATTCAAAATATTAGTTATAAAGTTCATATGCATTAATGTACACATGAACACAAGAATTATAGAATGTGTTATATACCACTCATAACAAATAGAATTAGCATTAAACAGTAATGTCATTTATGAAGCCCCATCTCCTCCTGACTTTAAATCCTGGTTATATCCATTTCCAGCTGGGACAATGTGAACTGTATACTACTTAATCCCTAAATGTTTTAGTTTCTTCATTTATAAAATGAGTATAAAAATAGTAAATGCAATATCTAGATATTTGTGGGAATTAAATCAGTAATACATGTAGTAGGCTTAGAATAGTGTCTGGCCTATAGGAACTTTTTAGTGTTTATAGTTACTAGTAAAATATCAGGGTGATGAGATTAGGGGTGATTTTTATTTTCTTTCATTTTGCTTATCTACATATTGTAAAGTTTCTATATAGTACTAATTCCTGATTCAGTTGACATGATTGAAGCTCTCTCACTCATGTAATGAAAGCCTGTTATTTCAGATCTCTTGTGAAGTAATGAAGAAATAGATATGATTCTTTTAATTTTCTTGATTTTTGTTAGATGGGGCAACTTTGGCCAGTAGATATTCCCATTTGTTATTCATGTTCAGAATCAGTAAAACTGATACTATTTTATCTCCATTCAATAATAAATATTTACTCTGCAGGTCATTGAGGGGTAACAGGTCTACATCCTATTGACTGGAGACACTAATGCTAGTATTTAACCCTATAACATTGGTCTTGAAGGTTTGTATTACAAGATAGAGAAAATTAAATCACTCTAAGATCCAACTTTTTGTTTTGCAAACAGAATGCTGGAATCATTCTGTGCCCTTCCCCGCCATTGTGACTTGCCTTTACTCCCCATCACCTCTTCCATGGGACTTCAGAAAGAACCTGGTGAGTTCCACTACATAAATGCTAGTAAGAGCACAGTGATATTTGCTATTTCACACTTATTTAAAATTGAAGAACTAATGCTGAAGTTACTCACTTCATATTTCATTTCAACAACTATGTCAAAAGATAAAGAAAGTTTTGAAAACAACTGCTAATAATTTTTTATTCAAATTTTAAAAAATGTGTGTGAATAGTGAAAGTTGTAGGAAATTATAGAGATAAATCCTTTATAATTTAGCAAGATTCTTTGTGGTTAAGTTGTAGTTGTTTTAAAAATACATAAAATTCTTCAAAACAAAATACACATGGTTCTTTAAAGTCCTTTAAGTGTGATTAAGAAACTCTCTGGGTGTTGGGAACTACTTGAAGACGTAGGGAGCTATTGATCCAAAGAAACTATTTTGTAGTTTTTCCTCTTTTTAAGTTGTCACTCCTGCTCTTGGGCTTTAGGATGTCATTAAGAGAAAACTCTTCTTGTACAGTGGGACTTTGATTGATTTTGGAAGAAATTTTTAAGTTTGCAGAATAAACTTCTCCTTGGATTCTCAAGGCACTGTTGCATAAAATGTTCTTTATTGTGTCAATTGAAATGTTCTTCAATTTTACCATTCTTTGTCAAGCGTCAAGTGGAAGTTCACTTCTGAATTTAGTTTTTATGGACTACATTTTCATTGACTCAACTAGTATTCAATACAACTATTAAAATTTATGAATATAATATTAGAATCTGGAAGACATGCCTTAGGTCTATTTTCTAATTTTGATTGTTATGTTGATTCATAGCTAAATTTTTTTAATACTTTGATTGGACAGTCTGAGTTCCCAGGGTAATGGAATAGTGTGTGTATGTTAACTGAGTCTAGAATTGAATGTCTATATATAGAAATAAGTACTGGAAAATATTCACACAAGGAGTAGAGTAAAATGGGTATAGCAGTTTTAGTAGATAATAATCTTAGAAATCTGATAACCCTATAAGTTGAGGTTTGCAGCTCTTAGCTATCATAAAAGATCAATTCTTTGACATTTAGATTGTATTTCAGGTTATCTAAGGGGTGATGAACACCTTTACCTTCATATAACATCTACCTCAGAAATTTCACATCTTCATCTTGTAGGGGAGCTTCTTAGTCCATCGAAGGTGCAGGCAATTCCCGTGGCTTAAATGAATGTTGACATTCATTTAAGTTTTTTTATATATAGGGGCTTAACCCTTGTTTATTTAATGTTAAACAAAAGGTGGAAGTTTCCATTGGAAGAATCCCACCTCTTAATTGAAGATTATTGTAAAATTGAGTGGAAGGAGCAGAATGGCAGTCACTTACTGATAATTTTTGAGATTTGCTAAAGATTTTACCCATATAAAAATACTATATTGAAATGGCAGAAATATTTACCAAGGGAATCATAACTTCACGAAAGCTCAAAAATTTTTGTACCTATTGCATCAGGCACATAGTAAGCATTAATGAATGTTGAATGAATGAATTGGTGTAAATTAAGAGGAGAAGCCATGAAATGGAGCATATTTTGATATGTATGTGTCTTTCTGCATAGACTAAAACTTTATAATTGTCAAAGAGAAAAAGATTTTGGGAAGGTAATATACTTGATATTGTTTTTAGGGTTTTTTGAAAATACTGATTATATGTAGACGGCAGAGATATAGTACCATCAAACTAAGTAAAATGTCATGCAGTTTATATGCTTTAAAACAAAATTGTTGAGCAGGTTGTTAGTTTTATGATATTATAGGTCTCTCTACTTATATAACTTCATGGGGAGTTGGAAGGTTGAATATGCAGAAAGTGTAAAAAATTGCAATAGAAATTGTCATTTCCAACTGCTATAGGGTTGATGTTCTTTTTTCCTTTAAAATTAAATGTATCTTTAATCAAATATGAATAGATATGTCACTGTTTATTGTAGGTTAAGTTTTATTTTGTTTTATTTTCAATTAAATCATTATTTTGTAAATGCAACTTATTTTTATAAGTCTAGAAATGTCTGAAGGCTGTGGCCAGCAGTTTATTTTGTAAAAATAAAATGTGGAAAAACATTAATTTTCCTTTTGAATAGTATCAGTGCATTCCTCATTTTGTGTCTTCTTGGGGTGTTTTTCTTATCTTGCATGAAAAATGATGAAAAGTTCTAAAATGCTTTTATAACTTTTTAGTTCATTTTAAGACTATGGTCTAAAACATCTGAACAACAAAAGATTTTTGTACACATCATTATCACAACTCTGTTTAGTTATAGCTTCAGCGAACATGTGAAACAGTCACTGAAGTGTATTAAGTAACAAAATGAACTTAAATATAAGAAAATGTAGATCTTGGCATTTTCTCAGAGGTGAATAGTAATTTACTGGCATATTCTGTTTGTCTCTCTTTCTGTCTGTGTCATCTATCATCTAACTTCTTGGAGCCTGGCCTTTTAAATCAACTTAGCATAGTGTTTAAGAGTGAAGGACCTGGAGTTACTTTAGTGAGGTTAGAATTCTAATTCTGCCAGTTTCTAGCTGGAAACCTTTCAAGTTACTTAACTAGATAATAATAGCACCAAACTCAAGTGTTTAGATAGCACTTGTCTAGTGCATAATATACTTCTTGGTGCTAAATAAAGTTGCTATTCCTTTTAGCCACAATTTCCTAGATATAAATACATTATAAAGCACAATAGACTAAAAGACTGGTGTTTGATGGCCTCACTTTTATTCTATATTAAAAGATAGATTACTAGAATCACAAAATATATCTTGTTACAATACTAGCTGACTTACCAGTCACAGTGTGAATTCAGGAAGTGTGTAAACACAATAACTTGGACCTTCATGGAGTCACCCATTTATGCCATTGTCACTGTTATTATCCTTTTTCAGACCTTGCATCTGCCTGTTTGCCCTCTTATTTCAGTACAGGTGGTAGGGCACGTTTTTTTCATGATAGGCTTCTAATTTTATTTATCTGTTTGTTCACTTTTTCTTTTTTTTAAAAAATTCTTTTATTGGTACATTTTAGGTATACAGTATGTTTACATTTCTCATTGGGTGCTTGTACCTGTACGTGATGTATCTTGGTTCTTATTTTTTCCCCATTACCTGTGTGCCCTTCACCCCTCCACCCTTCCCTATTTGC